CAGAGGTCATTCAGTTTGCAAATAAAGTCAATTAACCCGCCCACACCCCCACCCCACTCCCCCGCCTCCCCCCCCCAAAAAAACCCAACAAGTGTGAGTGCACAGTATTAAGGCTCTCCACCAGGGCGGTCTTGCATGAAAGCCTTGCATGAAATGATTGTGTGTACTAGACATCCCACGCAAAAATCATGCTGCGGATGTCTTACCGGTATTTAACAATGAATATCTTTTGTGTTGAGCTAGAAAAATAGCAATTTAGAAAAGGTAAAGATCTATTTTTCAGGATGAAACACAAAAATAGCACAGAGAATGCAACTTTAATGAAAAAAAAAATTCCTAGCAACCATTTGTTGATGGTAAGAATGTCTCTTCTTTTGTTGAGACCATACCAAATCACTGAAGTTAATTCACTTGTGTTTATCAAACACAATCATAATCTGCTTACATGTATGCCCGGTTTGTCAACAAACAAGTGACTGGTCATTTTTTTGTGGGTGATGGTCAACAAAAGAACAATGGTGTGGTTAGGAGGTAAAGGTGGACAATTTGTCTGGTCAAGTATTCCGGACTAGGACAGTGTCCGGTCAGATGACATCAAGAACGACCACTTGACCGCCTGTATAACTTTGAAAAAGGAGTTGTTTGGTTAACTTTTTGATATACATGTGACATGTAAATTTATGCCTAGAGTTTAACTCCATTTTCATATCATGAACAGTATGCGCACACATTTCCATGTACTCTTGTTTTACTATACTCTCGAGGACAATGCTTTGTGTTTCCCTTTGTCCCTGTAACACTCTCCCATAGACTAAGCACACAAAACTTACTACAGAGGACCGTTTCCAACTTGAGACGCAACTCCCGAGGACTGAAAGGATCTGTTGTTCTCCCTTTGTGTGTCGGTCCTCAGGGGTTATGTAGAACACGTACATTAGTAGTTCGTTTATAATTCGGCTAAGTCGTGAATGGGTGCGTGCAAGCGTTGACACGACGCACATGCGCACGCAGTGCTATTATTCGTCAATTCATTGTGTGACATCGCGTAGCTGCAATCGGCTGGATGAGAATGTGTCCCAGACGCTGATTTCGGGCGGAATTCAAAACCTGACTCGGCGACTTTTGAATTGAAAACGAGATCTTTAGAATATTGTTTTCTCCGGATACACAGCATTCACTGAGCTATGCTTCATCAGGTTTAATTGCTAAGCACCCTTCTTTAGAATTTGAGCACTTTTGTTGCTTCAAAAAAAAAAATGCACAAATGACAAATGATGTACTGGCTTTAAAAACGCAATTGTAATTTATTGGTGTTTCACTTTGATGTATGTCAACAGTCTTTAGGTTTGTAATACACTGAATATTAAAACAGTGTGTCTGTCTGTGTTGACTGAAATCTCAATTTCAATAGTGGTCAGAGACATATGGACTGAATTTTGCAAATGTTACCCCCTACCCATTTCCTCCTGCAAAATGGTCCTCTGTGGCACAGGATTTGTAATTTGCTGCGTATGTGACTACCGGTATGTTCCAAACAGTGGGCATCAGAAAGCAAAGTTGACCTGTGTGGCTTTTGGATTTTTTTATTTTTTATATATTTTGGCCGAATGATTTTTTAAAAAGTAGGGCCTAGGCCTACAAAATTCTTTGTGTTACATAAGAGAGGGTTTCTTTTCATTGAGTTTCGAGTTGACTTTTCGAGTTTCGAGTGAATTTATCGAGTTTCGAGTTGACTTTTCGAGTTCCGAGTTGACTTATCGAGTTTCAAGTTGACTTTTTGAGTATCGAGTTGATTTTTCGAGTTTCGAGTTGGCTTTTTGAGTTTCGAGTTGACTTTTCGAGTTTCGAGTTAAAACTTTTGAGTTTCCAGTTAAATTTTCGAGTTTTGAAGGTATTTTTTCAAGGTTCAAGTTGTCTGGCGCATTAGAGGAAACCTGTTGCTTTATCAAAATAGTTCAAAATATATCAAAATAGATTTCAGTTTAAGCACTGAAATCTCTACAAATCGTCTGGAGCTGGACTTGATGCCGCAGCTGCAGACTGAATCCCAGTTTTGGAAAATGGCCAGTGGACCAACAAGAATGACCTGTTTGATATGTTTGTCCCTGTTGATCCCTAGTCAATACCGGGCAGGGGTTTTTATTTGGCGAAACAAGCCAGAGGCTGGACATGCATGCTTGGTTCTTTTCTGTATTTTGTTTTTCCTTTCTGTATTTTTTTTGTCCTGGGGAATCTAGCTGGATTACTTTGAGGGGGCTGTTTTTTCCAATTGGAGAGGAATGGAAGTGGCAACCTGCATAATGCGATGTCAACACATCACCGGCCTTGAATACAAAAGCTGTCATTTTTGGTAGGTTTGGTCATCCGTCCATCATTTTTGGTTGGATGGGACAGGCACTGGGAATAGCCTGACAAAAGTGGGCTAGCAAGTTATGGGATTAAAGGAATACAAAGAACTTACCAAAGTTGTGTGGATTATGTCCACACAATTTCGCTAGGGCCCAGGTATCTAAAAGCCAGGTATCTATCGACGATTCTGTTTTCATGATTTCATGAACTATAGTGCTGCTCAGCAGCCCTCTGTGGCAGACAATTCATCTACGCCATCAAAGCAGTCAAAATCAATCAAGTGACTGTTTTTAACAGTTAAGAATTCCCTTGTTAATTTGATATAGCCATGCTTTGACTGGAAGTGATCGATATGTACATGCTAGCTGTACCTGTACCTACCCGGTACATACCAGTTACCTCTTTTGTCTGTTGATGGAATTTGACTAGTCACATTGCTTACAGGAATGTGATCTGACTGGTTTTTTTAATTAGTCTCTGTACAAATGCATCAGGGAATCATGGACGGAATATATTTGATTGTCTGTGTCTGATCATACAATATGAGGGTTACCGTTAGTTTAAAACAGGACACACCCATACAAAGGATTGATGCTTGCACTGAGCAGAATAAATGATGTGTGACTGTTCCATAAATATGAACAGTTATGGATGTACCTGTACACAAACACATGTCCGAATATTTCCGCTCTGTGTGAGGCCATTTTGAGACTGGGAGCAATAACTACCACATGTGACCATGTCAGTTGCTTTCACTTTGGGAGTGAATTCCATGGAATAATCTTTCATCGTGCTGCTAATATGATGGATCATCGCTCACTGATTCCTACCAGGCACTTATCCAGTTACAACCACCAGTGGACTTTAGGCTGCACTATATTTTTCAAATAAATTTCCAAATGAAGCTATTTTTATTTATTGTGAGAGTCCACGGTACAGGTATAGTCACAAAAATACCGCGGTATATTACCAGACTCTTTTCCGGCCAACTATTATGTCATCTAAATAAAATAAAACATAGGTGGTGTCAGCAGAACTTTGAAGGCTCTACTGAATGCTAGCAAGCAGAAGCCATGGGTTTTTTTCAGTCCATGCAGCCCCACCATTTTCATCTTATCTGGATAGTACGACCCAAAAGTGCAGTCACACTTACAAAAAGGGGGAAGTTACCGGTACACTAGTACTTTCAGGTGGAAACTGTCACTTTTTATTTTAATCAATTCCTATTTTTGCTACTTTTAGAGAGTATTTAAATGTATGTGATATATTATTCAGTACTTTTTGACCTTTGCTTTATGAAAAATTTCCCAGTCTTCGTGAAACTTTGGCTTTTTCCCCTTAAACCCCCCCCCCCCCCCAAAAAAAAAAATGTTGGGGAAAAACAGGTGCAGACATTTTGTGTAAATGCGTGTACTGTACGTGACATTTATAAAGAAATTGTTAAAATTAATCCAGAAAAACATTCAGAAGCGAGGTATTTGTGTTGCGTGACTTCCGTCAGTTACCCAAGAGTATTTTTGGACGCAGGAAATTATTTCTGAAATTAAAACAGCCCCAGGCGAGGAAATAACAACGCCGGGGTAAACTTTCTGGGGAAAAACAAGAGTTGGCTTGTTAACTTGGCATAGTTCAAACCCTCTTGAAACCCCACAAGTCGGAATGGCTGGCGTGGGTGGATTTTTTTCCTTTTTTTTTCTCAAGGACAAATGGTGCGCAGATGGAGAAAAGATATACCGGTCAAGTTTTTCTGAGGTATAAATTTCACTTTGACAGAATGAGAAAAGAAATGATGGATGAATTGTTATTTGCTTGATGATTTCCAAAGAGATGGTATTTTCTAGAATTTTGGAATACATGTATATATTCAAATAGTTAGATGAAGTATGCAAATGAATGGATGTACACTGGATCAGTAGAGAAAGAGTGAGAAAAAAATTATGTATTAATTTTTTGAGTACTTGTGCCAACTAGGTTTACCTTTTGAAATTTGTTTTTATACTGCACAATGTACTTTCATAGAGTGGTTAAATACAAAATAGCAACGATGATAATGGATGACATCCGGAAATGGTTTGGATGGCTCCGCCAACCCATTCCCAGAATACGTCTTTGCCAGTCCCATTGCCGACAAAGAACTTGCTGTGATTGAAGTTCATTGACAGGTACACGTACATGTTGTTGTCCGTTGGGAGTAAGCATTTTGGCATGAAACAGAAATGCTGTCGTGAATTGTGGTGGGAAGTTCTCAAAAGTTTCCAGCAGATGGTTAGGTCTTAGGTCTATTAAAAGGGAGGTTTTTGGAGTGGCTGCCCAACTCTGCCCCCCCCCCCCCTTTCCATACAAAATAATTAAAACTGGAGGGGGGGGGAGTTCCAAAGTCTTAAAGATTACTAATATGATGACTTGCAATATTGCTGAAATCTTTGTTCGTTTCTTAACGCCTAATTTCATCTGTGTTAAGTTGTACAATTCAGCCACCTAACCCCTTAAAAATCTTGGACCTCAACACCTCAGCCACCCGCTTAAAAAAAACACCTCTGAATCCAAGTTGTACAGGTATTTTTGCTCACCAGCTCAGTGAAATTGTGTCTAGTAATATTGCATGTACCAAGGATGAGCTGTTTTTGTTTTTCACTTAAGCTTGTTTATCCATGGACTTCCCTTGGATGACACTCCACCCCCACCCCCTGGCCTTCAAGCTGGCCAGGTCGCTAAGGTCAGGCCACATTCCCTGTAATTATCACCTGATTATTGTCTGTTCCCCTACTGACCAGGAATGTTGTCCCCCTGGGGACCCTGTCAAGGCTGGGCTTCTTGGGGGGGGGGGACCCAACAAGACTATGGTTTGAGTTTTTGAAGAGCTTTTTATCAAGACAGATTTTGAAATATTTAATCACAGTTGCCGAGTTGGAGATGTGTTGTCAAAAAATGTGTGTGGCTTCTGATGCCGAGATTGTATGGTCTACGTGTAGGTTTATTCACTTGAGGCCAAGTGTCCCAATATATACAGGTTCTCATATCTGATACGGTATGGCAGCATTTCGTATTGTAATTAATTATCATGACAAATGATATCGTTACAGCACGAAGGTACAATGTACGGTAGTCTTTTGAAATTGGTTATTAGAATTAGAACATGTTGTTAATAATATTCAACATCGCTTTTATCCTAGATCAAAGAAAGGTAAATTGTTGTTTTTATTTTTTTCTTAAATGCTTGGTACAATTAATTACAGTGTCGTCATAAACCAGGTTTATCAGATATGAATATTATTTTGGCATTGAAGCCTTTTTGTCTCTTATTATAAAATGAATGGATAACAAACATTACAGGTGACATAAAATAGTGAGGTATGTTCATAACTGCAAAGTACAAAATGAAACAATTTCACGATGTACACACATACATTTATCTATATCTTAAAGCTATAGTCCATCATTTGCAGCCATCCGAAAAAGTAACTGGCGTATTATTGTTGAAAAACACACTTGGTTGAAAGATACTATAAAGTGGACTAAACTCCCTGTGAAATTAATCTTTCTGACAAGCTATCATTTTGAAGTAATCAACGAAAGAAGGCCTTTCCAACGGTGCATCTTAAGACGCACCGTAGGAAAATTTAAATTAGTAGTTCGTTTTGTTATTCGGCGCAGCGCGCGCAAGCATTGGCACGACACACAGGCGCGCGTGGTTGCTATAATTCGTCGGATCAGTGCGTATAGCTGCAATTCAAAACAATTCAAAACATGATCCAGCAACTTTTGATTTGAAATTGAGATCCTAGAATGCTGTTTTTCTCCGAATATACAGCTGAAGCTGAGCTGAAACTTCTTCAGGTTAGTTGTTCAGTATCCTTCATTAGATTTTGAACACTTTTGTTGCTTCAAACGAACAAAATGCACAAATTACAATTGATGGACTATATAGCAGTTTTGGCACTTGCGATAAAGGAACAGATCCTACAAGTGGGCATAGTCAAGTTCATGATCACGAGCACCGGTAGTGACTCTCCGCTTTAGTTCCAGTATATATCCTTTGGGAGTAGGACTTGGAAGACAGGGAGGCAAAAGCAGGAATTTGACGTTGTGGTGTAGGATTTCAGACAGGAAGGACCTTGGGCTAGTCTCAAACACAAGAAAAGCAACATATCATTGGGCGTATCAAATCAGTTTTGAATAGCTAAATTTAGAAATCAAAATATCCTGGGGTGTTTGAGAGGAATTTTACAAATAGTTCCTGCAGTGGCTCAACTCTTTCCGCAATACAGCAGGAGTGACAAGACAGATGAGTGTATCTCAAGTCCTCCTGGTGCAGGTTCGGCCAACTGTAGGCAGGTTACTACTCTCTGTTGATTGCTGCTAATATAAATTGGCCAGTATTGCCCTCGCACACCCTGCAGGGGAAAAGGTTGAGAAATACGGAGACGTCACAGTCCATTATTATGGTGCAACACTTGGGACGAATTAACGTGTAAAGTGCATTAACCATGGAGCCAAATTTGGTTTGGAGCCATTTATTTTTTCGGTCTGATTTGGCCCAGGACAGTGGTTGGAACACTGAAGCTTATAATAAGCCTAGCCCAGCCCATGGGGTCTGAATGCCCCAGCCAGGGTAATTACCTAGATGAAATTGAATTGTCTCCTGCAGTAATGTCAGCCCATTAAAACAGGAAGAAGAGAAACCAAACGGGAAGGATAAACAATTTGCAAAACAATTTTTCATTTCCTGAGGGTGTTGGACATTTTTTTTTTTTGATAGTTCCCAATTGATTTTTTTTTTTTTTTAGGAAGTGCAGATGAGAAATGTCCAGGTGTGTTTTTGTTTTGGTGTGTGAGCCAGGCCTTAGGGTCGGGATTTGTACCCTGGAGAGAAACACTAGTTTAACTAAGTTGTTTTCACGCCTGCCTGACATACAGAGGTAGGAGTGATAAGTCTGAAATGTACCAGTCGGCTAGAGAGTTTTGTGGGAAATCTCTGATGAAAATTGGCGGTGGCATTACTTCGCAGACACAAATAACCCTTGCTGTGTTCAGGCTCCACTTTGGTATTTTTTGGTCATGTTTCATATATTTGTGGTGTTGTTGCTCAGTGGAAAGTTGGACAACCAGCCCGTCACAATTGAAAGCCATCTCGGAGGTGGCACCACTGATTCGCAGATGGTACAGGTGCATTCAAATGCAGCTTGAACCAATCGGATTGCCAAAACTGAGACGTGCTCCTCTCAGTAAGAACACTGTGCGCATGATCACGGCACATGTACAGGGTGTCCCAAAACAAGTTGTGCAAGCAGATATCCTTTAATTTCTAAAAAAATACTTAATATGAGTATTTCCTCTATATTAATTATACTCTTGTGTATCATCAGTGAAAATGCCATGGAAATCCGTTCATGCAAACCAGAGATCTAACAGATTGTTTTTCACCCATTTTCCAATGGGATTTACACAGTTAGTGATATCAGTGAATCAGATTGTCATGGGCCTTTTCGCTCTGATGTAAATTTTAAGTTACATGTAACTGAGAAAATTCCTTCTCATTGGAATGGGTAAAAAACCCATAGCCTTTTGTGATAATCTGTTAGATCTCTGGTTTGCATGAACGGATTTCCATGGCATTTTTTACTGAATATACACAAGTGTATAATTAATATGCTCCATCAAGATGTAATACTCATGTTCATTAATTTTTGAGAAATTAAAGGATATCTACTAGCACAACTTTTTTGGGGACACCCTGTATACCAACTCAGTAAATGGCTTCGTATACATACGTACCGGGTAATTGTGTATACTGAATTAGTATATACAAACTACAAATACCAATCTTGTTTACATGCACCTGTGAAATTTCATTTTTAAATACAATACATTGTACTTTTGTATTAATTTCAGACAAATCTTGAAATGGGTATACATTGTATCATGTCACATGTGGTCCTAAAAACTTTTTGGGTAAATACCTCATTGACAATCAATCTCAGTTTAAAATGCTGTTGTTTTAATTTGTGCATACAGTAGGCCTGTACGTGCATACAGTATAATCTAAAAAATTGCTTCCTTTTGCTCACTTCTTTTGACTTCAGTACAATAAGACATTACCAGTTGTTGGTCCCAAGCCGGTATTTCCAGTACCGAATCCATTTTGTGCCGCAAATCACCCAAGGGCTATGAAAGACTAATAACCCACCAATAAATAAATCTATTATTACTTGAGACTGAATATCCGGTCCTTGCAACAAGTTACACTAGCCAGAAACCAAAAGGTCCTGATTGTCTGTCTTTGAACTTTCTTTGATTCCCTCCAAATTGTCCGCTGGTTCAAGCTACTTTTTTTATTAATATTAATGGTTGTGGTTGAGCCCCATTGAGACCATAGTCATTGCCAGAGACAGGGCTTAGATTCATGGGTCTGTCCGTGGGGAAAGAGGAGCAATAATTCTTGTCAAGGTTCAGGGTGAAATAGGCCCGCTGTTCTTCCTGAGGGTATGTACTGCACAGGTCTCTATAAAAAAAAGGTCATTGATAAATGAGGAAATGGAGGAATTTTAAAAAGACTTGAAAAGGACAAAATACTTCGAGACTCCTGAGTGCTTCAGAATAGGATGAGGTCTGGAGAGTGTATCTTGATCTTATAGTTTCACTTAAAAAGTGATGACCACCATTTTTCTGTTTTTAATTCTCCTGAAAGAAATCCCTCCCAGGAAGCACTTGTTTCAGACCCACAGAGGGATTGACCAAGCCATTGCTAAAAATCCTAGTATGTGTTGGATCAAATGTTGGGTTTGTCAGTCAATCTCAGGCACCCTCAATTATGTCTTTTTCATCGGAAATGAAATCAGCCCTAACTGAATAATAACTACATGATGTAGATTGCTGTGTCCTAAACAGCTGGTGAGGAGGCTTCAGCGAGGTCTACCGGTACATGTATGTGTATTTTTAAGCTCTGGCTTCCATACATTTGTACATGTAACAATTGGTGGTCGGTCGGTCTGTCCTTGGAATATTGACCAAAATATGGCCCCATAAGTTTCCCACAAAATATAACTACCAAGCATACAAAACAAATAAAAAACTTAGCAAAAATTGTTTGCAACAATTGGGAAAGATGTTTATGAAAATTTTGTAAATGGAGGCAAAATATGTGCAGTAATGTTATAGTCATGTGATATTTATCACAAATCGCTATATATATATCTAGGTAACATCTAAAGTATGCTGTTCCACATGCCATCGGCGTCGCATTTTTGGGCGTCGCATTTTTGGGCGTCACATTTTTCAGCTCTGGCAGGGATCATTTTGATAGATTTCATGCAAGACGTCCAGAGCTTATTGTGCACTCGCATTTAAAGATGATGTACAATTCAAAAGTTGCATGGTACTGGGTAGTTGCATGTGCACCAAATTTGGGAAGTTCCATTACTAACTGCAGTGCCATTTTGGCCGTATCGGTACCGGTAGTTGGAAGTGTTTCGAAGAAAAACCAGATCTATTATTCCTGTTTGGAAAAAAGTCGTTTGTCATGCCTCTAATTGTAAGTCAATTCAGAGGGCTCCAGTCAGTTCACCGTGCAGCTTCTCTGGTCACGAAAATACATCAGTAGGACTTCGGAGAAAGATATTTGCTTGTTTTTCACAACAAAATTCCAACTGGGATGATTCATAGCGATATCTGGGTAAACAAAGATAAGTGCTGAAAAGAAGTTCGTAAGTGTGTGGCTGATTGACACTTCATTTTTTATCCAAGGGACTTTATTTACACGCAGCAACGGGTACAAGTACCGTACTGCCAGAAGCACATGAACAGCATTTGCAATCAAGATAAATATTGAGTGCGTTATCGCTCAAGTTTCTGGTTAACTCCAAGTGCAAATAGGAATTTAAAAAAATATGTCCGTGTGTGTTTCACTTCTGTTTCAGGGCAATTTTCCTCCTGTTCACTTCCAGTGTGAAGTAGGTACCCCGCCACCTTTAAAGGGAATGTACAACATTTGCTTTTGCTGCAATTTTCAGAAATAAATGGGTTTGGAGGATTAGTATGTTATAGCAAAATTGTTAAAATGACTTGTTTCACGTTTTGGGCTTGTAGATGTTGGAAAAACCAAGAAAACCAATCATGTTCTTGTAGTCTGGTTCCCCGACCCCAAAGATGAAACAGAGCAATTTATAGACTTTTGGGAATTGTAAAGTCAGAGAATCAGTCTAGCAGGCTTGTACCCCTTCACAGGTGTGCAATCAATTGCAAAGAAAACAATGAATAACTCATTTTGAAAAATTAGAAGCAGGTTTTGAAAAAAAGCCAGTATTTTCCAACGCTGGTCAGCCGACCAGCGTTGGAAAAATACAATTTTTCTTGAGAATGATAGCACACCAGGAGCCACGATTTCACAGGATGCTTTAGACTGTCATTCCCTAACAATCCAGTAAGGTATTTCATGATAATTTGATCATTTCGTTTTGTGATGTTTGCAAATGCTGTATCTTCCCTTTAATATTGGTTTGCAGTTAAAGTGCATTCATGTGTAAGACTGGAAGTTCAGATGAGTCATAGGGAATTGAAAGGCTGTGGCATGTATTGTATGGTGTGCAAGTCTAGGTTTAGTGGGGGAAGGGGAGGAGATTGGATTGGGAGGGGGGAGACTATACATTTTACAAGGGGCTAATGCTAAACCACAACCCTTCCAGGTCTTTCAAAATCAACCATTTTGTTGGATTTTCCAGGATCTATGAAGGTAGACCCCAGCTACCGGTACTTCGTAAGTTTGAACCTTGCAGCGAGCTTGCGGCGAGCTTGCGGCGAGCTTGCGGCGAGCTTGCGGCGAGCTTGCGGCGAGCTTGCGGCGAGCTTGCGGCGAGCTTGCGGCGAGCTTGCGGCAAGCTTGCGGGCTTGCAGCGAGTTAGTATTAAGCTTACGGAAAAGAGCGCAAGCCCATACAAGCTTGCAGCGAGCTCATTAAGTTTGCCGCACGCTTGTGACAAGCTAGTCGCAAGCTTGTGGCAAGCTCAATTTTCTGTAAGGGTGCACTCCTTGAGCAGAATGGTTTAGTGATTATGTAATTATGTGTAATTAAAATATTCTGCTATAAACTTTTAAAAGTGTACTTCATGATGTGGATAATAAATCCTTGCATGTGAATGGAGATTTTCTTGTTAAATTACCATTTGAAGCAAATTCACCGAGGTACCGGTAGGCATGCTTACGGTATATACTGCCTGTGGCCTCCGTGAACTGGATGGGGTTGCATTATTAGTAGAAACTTGTGTGCTAACTTGTGAAAAATACAAACTTCGTTCATGAAATTGGGTTCAAGCCTTTCAAGGATTTGACTTTCTGACTAAAATTTAAACTGATTGCTTTCAAACAGATGTGACTGGATAGCCAGTTGTAATGGCTGTTGTGAAGAGCTGCAGAACTGTAAACTTTTCAACAGACTGTTAAAACAACTTGACAGTTTATGGTCACAAACATCACAAACATCAACAGACCCATGCGTTGGTCAGCTTTACCCAATAATTATTGCCCTTGAATCAGGAATGTTTTCCTGGATGTCGGGAAATTATCCAATATCCAGTCACAAGGCACTAAGTTCAAAACATGAAGGAGCTGGCCAGAGCTTTTGGGCGAAGCGATAATGTTCCAATATGCCTTAGGTTTGGTTGAATTGCAAAGGGGAATTGCACATTATAATAGATGCCCCTTCCCCAAGATTCTCCCACAGGCAGTTTCTTGACGAATAACCTTACATCAACCACCCTCCTCTCCCAATGATGCAATTCAAACTGTTAAAGAGAACACTTCAATAGAGGGTTCAGCCTAGATGTTCTGACACCCCTGTGTTCGGACTACTCAGCCTACAGTATGTTCCGACACCCCTGTGTTTCGACACCCCTATGTAGTATGTTCCAACACCCCTATGTTCGGACACCCCTATTATGTTCCGACTGCTCAACCCATGTTCCGACACCCCTACAAACGTAAACTTTATAGGCTGGTCTCTGGCCCCAACACACCATTCAGAAACGGGCTAACACGATATTTGGGAGGGGGGGGGGGGGGAGCTAACACAATATTTTTGCGGGTTGTCCGTGTCGGAATATAGGGTTGTCGGAAGATAGGTTGAAAAGTCGGAACATACGGGTGTCGAAACATAGCTGTGTCAGATA